GTCGTCGGCGGCGGGCGACGGCCGGAGCACGGCGCCGTAGTGGCGGGCCAGCTGGGCGTCGAGCGCCTGTCGGCCGCCGGTGGCGGCTGCGGCGGCCGGGTCGAAGGTGGGAGGTGTCGCCGGGTTGGTGTCGTCGTAGATGAGGTGGGATGACCACGGGTGGTAGCCAAAGGCCGGGAGGACCTTGCCGCCGTCGACGACGCCGTGGCCCTGGGCCTCGGCCGCCGCCGCGACGAGGTCCTGGTCCTGCGCGCGCGACGACATGACGGCCATGGCGCGCGCCCTCATGCCCCGGATGGCGGCCACCGAGGCCGGGGTGGTGGTCGGGTGGCAGTGGGCATCGTAGGCGCCGGCGTCCCAGGGGAACGGCTCCTGCGGGCTGCTGCTGCTGACGGCAACGGCTGGGGTGGGCGTCTTCTCGTGGCCGTGGCTGGTGCACATCTTGGGAAGCCGGCAGTGTTCGATCGGATGGGCGAGTCTGGACGAAGTCTGTCTGTTGGTTGCTAACGTTGGCGGGGATGGGTGGGTGATGTCACTCGTTTGCTGGAGCTACAGTGTTACAGTACCCTCCCCCGCTTTTGCAAGCCAACCGACGCACTGTATTGGAAGCCGCCACGTCCATCCCCGCTCATTGTCAACTGATAATCTTCAAGCGCAAGCCGTCGGATCTCCCTGGGCTCTTTTGTTCAGCCGTATAGTTGGCAGATAGCGACATTGAACCCCAAAGAAATGAGAGCAACAGGAATGGTGGTGCACCCCATCTCCCATCCTACCTGGGGAGCGACTTTGGCTTTGTCGCCGTCCATGTGTACAAAAGTAGGCGGATACCACCTATATACGAAGTTATGAAAGGGAGCCAGGACCGCACCAGAAACGTCGAGCCGATGTCTGTTCGCCGCAATCCCATCTCCGCGGGCTCTTTTCATATCTCGATCGGGCCACCAACGGAACGCCCGTGCTCAGCAGTGCTCAGCGGCGCTCATCAACTAGAAAGACTAAGGACAGACTCACTGCTCAGCTGCTGGCCAGCCCACGGCTAGGTCTTTCCGGCATCATCCTAGGACGGTCTAGAAACGGACGGGCCAGTTGGTATGTAGCAAGCACCGATCGATCCACCCAACCCAATCTCGCGCTGCGCCGCCGCCGCCGCTTACATAGGCACGTAGTGCAGCAAGCGGTTGCGTGCTTGGGCGCTTGTTTGGAGCCATCTAGAGCGGCCAACCAGTCGTCATGCCGGGCCTTTCGCCATCTCGGCACACCCTGCATCCAAGACCGCCCTCCTTGCACAACCCTGATGGAGAGCAATAGAGAGAAAGGGACTAAAGGGACTGCCTTCATGCCCACCGACCTGGATGGCCCCTGAGGGAGCGTTCAAGGGGGAACGGGCGGGAGCCGTGCAATTGCTCAGACCAGGTCGCAGCTCTGACTCGGCCGTACAAAGTACATGTGTGCGTACATGTATCAACCCTTAACCTTCTTTTCCTCCGCTAGCTTCCGTCCTTCACATGCCATCCCTGGTCTTGCGTGTTTCCCTGCGCGCTCTCTTTCTGGGGTGCAGTGCCGAAGAAAGGGCCCGGTCCGGCCGACTTGCCAGTCGCTGCACTGCACTGCACCGCGCCCCCGTCTCCCACATTCCAGGACACTGGGCTGCCCCCTTCCACCCCCGACGCCTCTGATCGAGCCGAGCGTTTCTGGCTGGGCGAGAAGGCGAGGCAGGAGAGAAGGCTTTTATTTCCGCCACGCTCTTGATCTCACCGCACATTCGCCGTCTGGAGAGTGGCCAGTCCACCTCCCTCCTCTGCTGCGCTGTCCACTTGATACGTTGCTTGGCTCGACGGCGCCAGCTACCCCTTTCATCACCCCCACCGGCGGCCGTCCATATCATCATCCCACGTTGGCAAGCAACCCTAGCAAGCACCGCCCTCAAGATCCCAAGGAACCTCTGGGGTGCCGGAAGGAGACCAAGAAAGGTGTGACAGGCGGGAAGGAGGGGAAGAGTTCCAGGGTGTCTGAGCCTCCCTGCGGCCTGCCTCGGCGGCGTCTCCAAAAATCCGGCACGCGGACACGAACACGCACAAACGAACCACCCGCTCGAGCACCCACCCCGCACACACCCAGCCCATCATGGGTTGGGCCTTGCTGAAGCCTTGGAACCTGGCCCTCGTCGCCGCCGCCGTCGTGCTGTCGGGGCCGCTGACCGTCGCCGCCATCTGCACGAGTTTCTTGTCCGCCACTCTGCTGGTCTTTCTCTCGGGGGCCATCCTCATCCACGCCGCCGTCGCGTCCGTGTGCCGCGTCTTCTTCTGGCCCCGCGCCTCCCCTCCACCCGCCCCGTCCGCGGCGGCACCCTCGGTCTCGACCCGCGGCGGCGGCGGCAGCCACGCCCGGTCGCTGAGCTCCGACGCCGCAGCCCCGCGCCAGCCGTCGCCTCTGCTCGTCATCCAGGGGAGCGGCCGATCCCGCGCCTCTCGGGGGAACAGCCTTAGCCAGCGCGTGACCCTGCCCGCCGCCAACAACGCCGACGGCAGTCCTAGCAGCACCCGGAGCAGCAGCTGCAGCGCGTCGAGCAGCGCGGGCTCCAGCTACGCCAACGGCTTTCCCTTCGGCGGGAGCGACAACGGCGGCAGCGCGAGCGGTCACAGACAGGGCATGTTCGGCTTCGGCGCGGGCCAGGCGTCGTCGGCGGGAGGGGCCGCCTCCAACAGGAGACGCCACTCCCTGATCCCGCCCGCCGGCGGCCCGCTCGACGGCAACGAGGGCGACACGGGCGACTTCTACGACGACTACGACGACGGCGACGAGGGGTCGGACGGCTACTGCTACTACCCAGACGAGATCGAGCATGGCGGCGGCGGCGGCGGCAGCTGGCCGAGCGACTTTGCGCCCCAGCTCTCGCTCCCCTCGCGCCTCTTCCACCAGGGCGGCGGCGGCGGCGGCGACGACGTGAACCCCAAGATACGGTTATTCCAGCAGCAACAACAGCAGCAGCAGTACCGCTACAACCACCCGCAGCAGCTGCAGCTGCTCACCATGCTGCGGAGCGGCGGCGGCCAGGCCCTGCCGATGTCGCCCAACAGCTCGCGCCGCAGGGCGTCCATCGGCGGCGTCCCCTCGCTCTTGCGTGCCGGCGGCGCGGGGGCCGGGTTCGGGGGCGGCAGCGCCCCCACGGCGGCCTACGCGACCAGCCGCAGCGGCTCATCAACTCCCTGGAAGAGGGCGAGACAGACATCTGAGTTTGGGCTGTAGGACGCTAGTGAGGGGGTCAGAAGCCGAGGAAGAAAAGACGGAAGACCTTGACGCTCGTATGTTACCATATCTATAGTATCGTTACTCCGAAGGGACAAGAAAGAGGAGAGAAAAAAACATGACGCACCTTCCTTTCCAACCACACACCATGTCATCATAATTGAAAGTCGACTATCACGCCCTGGGGATGTAAGTTCGAGGCGAGGCCGGCTGCGTGGACAGACATGCATTTTGCCAAACGGGTTATCTTTCTGCCCCAAGGGAGGATAAATGTCAAGGAGCCTTGAGTAAAGAATAGTTGGACATGCCACTTTCTAAGAAATCAGCGGTGCTTGCGATTTCACAGGACGTGCTGGACTGAGAGGATGCATCACAAACGCACCTTGCTTAGAAGGAACTTTGTTGATCTCATTATGAAGAAATTGTAGATTGGGTATTCGTCAAACTCCAAAAGAAATCTGGATCCAGCCATATCAAGCCCCTGAGAGCAGTTGCTGTTACACAGCGATCTTGGGCAAGTGACCAGCAAAAACACGAAAGGACCTGCCATATCGAACAGCCCATGAGACCCAACCACCAAGAAAACCCCTAACCCGAACGCCACCAGCGCCGCATACCATTCTGTAGTCCATTATGTCTTGGTACATGTGTTAATGAGAGTCAAAAGTACAGCCATGACGGCGATTTCCGCCGGGAATATGCCATCTCCACTCACCATTATCGTTCAAATCATATGCCGGTCAAAAACCGGACAAGGCTCGGCGGAGCGGCCCTTCCTTCTCACAGCGTCTGCCAAAAGTAGTTTGCGTAGAAGAACCTGGTGAACTTCTTGTCCATGTTGACAACGTGGACGTCCCCCTTGCGGTCGTTGCGGATGACGGCGCGGGTCCACTCGCCGCCGTCGGCCCCCTCACTGCCGCCACCGCCACCGCCCTCGCGCTCGAGCTCGATGCCGAGACCGCGGTAGACCTTGAGGCGGAGCAGGACCTCGTCCTCGACGGGGTCCGTGGCCGAGGCCTCACCCTCGACGCCCTGCAGCTCGAGCTCCTGCAGGCGCGCGGCCAGGTCGGCCGCCTGCGACGACAGCCGCTCCGTCTCGACCTCGAGGTCCGACGCCGCCTTGGCCGTGCGGAACTTTTGCGTGTCGAGCCGCGCCATCTCCGACGCGTGCGCCGCCGACGAGTGCTGCGACGTCAGCTCCGTGTGCTGCGACTGGAGCGTGTTGAGCTGGCGCGAGAGTTCTGTTTGTTTTTTGTGTGCAAGGTTTCTCCGTTAGAGCCCCTAGTCCGCCGGGTCTGGGGGGGTGGATGCCTCCCTCCGTGGCGCATCACATACTCTTGAGCGACGTCTCGGCCTCGCGCAGTCTGAGCTGTCGCGCCTCTTGGAGCATCGAGAGCGCGCCGCCGACGCGCGTGATGGCAGCTTTGTCGGGCTGGATGTTGAAGTTGTTGACCGTGGCGCGGATCAACTGCAAGTGGAACAACCGCAGGTCAGCAATGCGAACAGAGGCAGGGGCATTCTGGCGGTTTAACTTGCCAGCGCGGGGTCCTCCTCGAGAATCATCTTGTGGACTTTGTGGGATTTTGTGGTCTATCGCCAAAGTTCGTAGTGTGCACAGGTGGCCGCGGTCGTAAGTGTTCTCAATCCGATTTCTTGCAGTCAAACAGACAATTCTGGCGATAATCTTCACAACTCAAAAGTAAACACAGGCTAGCGTGTCGCCAGGACGACCCCCCCTGCTATCTTATCATACATGTGGGCAAATATCTCGCACGTCATTTGTTCCGCCACTCGGCCCACCGTTGTGGGGCTGGGCGGGACGGGAAAAGCTCATGAGTGCGGGCGCAGCATCCAAACCTCGGCCACAGGCACTATCCGTCGGGATTGTCGTGTGATACATCCATCTCAGTGTTGGCCAACGGACGCCGCCACAGCTACCACAATCACCGCTCGAACAGCCATATAAAACCCAAGCCTCGCGAGAGGCTTCAACCCACGCCGTCGTGTTACCCTTCTACTCCCAGCCAACAACTGCCCCTCGCGCCCTCCCCGCGCCACACGCAGCTGCCCACGATGGGGTCCAATCTTCCTTGTGAGCTGCCTCGAAAATCTCCGTCCTGCCCGTCCGGCGCAAACTGACCAGCCACGCGCGCACAGATGCCATCGATGCGGAAACGTATGTTTGTTCCAGAGCCCCCGACGCTCCATCTGAGCCCTTCTTGCGGCGACGGCCCGTGTACTGAAATTGCTGCGTTTGGCAGCCCGCTCAAGCCCGACGAGCTCCAGGTTCTACGGGCACAGTTCGAGAAGGAGGGGGACATGGTCGGAGTGCAGACCAAGTTCAATTACGCCTGGGTATGGCCATACACCTGTTCATTTTGTATTGTTTCCTTTAGCGTCTTGCAACGACCCCTCCAGTGGTTTGAACGAACGACGAAAAAAATCGAACCCCGCATACCATCACGGCTTCAGGCGGCGAAATGGCTAGCAGCTAACAAACGAAACTAACCTACAATTCATCTACAGGGTCTCGTCAAGTCTAACGCGCGGCCGGACCAGCAGAATGGAGTGATGCTGCTGTCAGAAATCTTCCGGACGTCTCCGGAGCGGCGACGAGAATGCCTCTACTACCTAGCGCTAGGCAACTACAAGCTGGGCAACTACGCGGATGCGAGGCGGTATAACGACCTCCTGCTAGACAAGGAGCCGACGAACCAGCAGGCAACGAACCTGCGTTCTCTCATCGACGACAAGGTGGCAAAGGAGGGTCTGTTGGGAGCTGCCATCATCGGTGGGGTTGCTGTTGCCGCTAGTGTCGTGGGCGGTATCCTCCTCAGGAATCTGGGCCGGAAGAGGTAGCCGCAGGATTCAGGTGGTTGGCTATCCGTGTGCATGAGGAGGTGGCCCAGTGCCAGGCTTTCTCTGGCTTCCAGCGCCAGCGCCCATCGGTGCGGAGGAGCATACGACGCCCCTCTTTCTCCTTGATGAGCGCTAATATGTATCAACAGCTCACTCTCCATCTAGCCCTGTAAGCCCGTAGCAGATGAGTACCTATATAATACCCCCTTCTTCTCGGAAGTCGCCGTCTTGACTTTTTTTTCGCCTGGATCAGCCTGCCATGTCGAGGCGCTGAAGCCACGATGCCATGATAATCATGTGGAGGATCTTAGCACTGCATGCGCTGCGCGGACAGCGTCATATACCCGAGAGCCCTACGTGACACCTAGGCTGTCCAACCCCTCTTGGGGCGCAGCGCGTACATGTATTCAATGCCCGCCTAAGCTGTGTGAGGTTGCATGTACGTCTAGGCCGCATCGGCGTTGTTCGGTAGATACCTAGATCTAATATCTACACCTATGTCAAAGCCACTGGGACTAAAAACAAATAGAATGGTCCGGTGTTCGCCTTCGTGAACCCAAACGCGCGATCGGCAGCACAGCTTCCGGGGTCTGAGAGCGTCCATAACAACACAGATGTGATGGGAACTGGGGGAATGAATGCCGCGTGCTCCCATGATGTGCTGGTGGCGTGGGCAGGGAGTAGCACGTCGGGTTGGATCGGATCCAGTCAAGTGTTGTGGTGTAGGTGTTTCAACGAACGTCGAGCGCAAAGCTGAAGACGGCCGGATTCTGGCACCTTCCAGGCCCCTTTTGATTGGCAATGCAATTAGGCTCCTGGATGCAAACCACGCTATTCCGGCAGCAGGTGCCTTGGTGCGTGCTTTGAGACCTGACACAGCACCCTGGACTGTCAAAATTGATGGCTGTGAGTGGGCCTGTGGGTAGGCCTGGCCTCTACCGTATTCCCGTTGTAGACCCCCTGTCGGTGACTGGACCTCCCTGCGGCGACGACATCATTGGGCGGGGCGGCGTCGTCTTCCCATGAGCTCCTCCCAAGCACCTTCCCCAGACCTCGCTCAACATCGCTCAACACGCCACACAGACGGGGCAGGACAGCGACAGCTGTTTGACTCGGGGGTATTTGCTGGCACCCAACCGGCCAACTTGCAACCTAGACCTGGCACCTGGGCCAGACGGTCAGCACTCGGCGCCCCGACGCGGGCACGCTCAAAAATCCGATCCCGGCGACTGTTTGATCGGGCCGTTTGTTCTTGCATTTCCTCCGTCCTTCTCCCCTCAAATCCAGCTCCCAGCCTGTGTATTCCTAGCTCGCCCAACCAGCCGCCAACCGCCTACGACCAGAATCGATAAGCCCACGCCACGCCGATACCAACCTAGACCGTCTCCCATCCGCCCGTCAACCGAGAGCTCAAGCTTGTCACAAAGCACTCGAGTCGCTAACTGGGTGCTGTCAACCTGGCTCCTCTTGTTTCTTTCTTTGAACCAGGCTCGGCCCCGAAGCAACGTGACGCTGCAGGAGCCCGCCTTGGACGCCTCCCAAGCATCGCGTCTCAGCCTGCCCTGGCCCGCCTCGTTTTATCCCCATCGTCGTTCGCCTGCTGGTGCAGGTCCCGAAAGTGCCGTTTGCGGCCTGACCTCTGAAGCGGCCCGGATCGCCACGCTCTGATAGCCCTTGGGGTTTATTGTCGCCCTAGCCCAGCTTGCGCGCCGACCGAGACTCGCTTCTTTTCGACGAACCCTGCCTCCTCATATACCACTCCATACTTGCATCTTTCCAAACGCCATCCGCCAGACTGGCTTTCCGCGCCTTCCGAGCCGTCGGCATCGCTGTCAGCCTGGGACTCGCTGCCCTTGCTGCTTACCAAAGCCAAGGCTCACAGAACCAGCACGAACGGAGCGGGAGCAACATGTCACACCTTTTCCGCGGTCCGCATTTGAATGCCTTTGCAGGCAGGGAGGTCGTCTTTTGTCATAACTGTAGGCACGAGTGGTACCATGAAATCAGCGGTCTTCAGTGCCCTCATTGCAGGTCTGGGGCCACCGAGATTGTGCGTCAAGATTTCTGCCTTTCTGCTGCCTGGTCCTTCCCATCTTGTACCTCCAATCGAACTCGGTCCTTGCGATGGCGAAATGCTAACATGACAATACCACCATCAGATATCAGATCGCGAGAATGACCCCCGCGATCTCCGGCAGCGGAATACGGACTCTGATGCGGACGAAAACGACCCAGAAAGGGAGTTTCGGCGGGCCGGCAACATGCTCTATAGTCGGATCACATACCGGAGCCCGCCCCGCCACGAGCCTGGATGGGAGTCTGGCCCGGTGCATCCGGCCGATCCCCATGCCATTGTGCACCGCTTCGCCGAGCTGGTCAGCGATCTCGACCAGGGAAGGCACGCGCCGGACGGCCCGGCCACTGCCCCTGGACCGCGCTTCGCCCGCGCGACGTTTCATAGGCCGAGTTTCGGTAACGGCCAGACCGGCTTCACCATCACCACACCCCATGTGCGCGTCGGCCGTGACTCCAACCGCCCGCCGCAAGATGTTGCCAGCGATTTCGCCATGTATGTATAGTGTTGCTTCGACCGAGCATCGCACTCACTCCCCTCGATTCGTTCATTGCCGGTACGCTTGGCCGTCTGATACTAACGAGTCGCCATGCAGGCTTTTCGAAACCATAATGGGCAACATCACGCCCCAGGCCGGCAATAGCCCGTTTGGCAGTGCAAACAACGCCAACAACGCCAACAACGCCAACAACGCCAGTGCCGCCGATGGCGCCGGTGCAGGTGCCGATAATGACACGGCCCGCGGCGGCGGACAGCACCATCCCCCCCATGGATTCCCATTGCAGTTCCACCAAATAATAAGTGCTTTGTTCGGACCTCCTGGCAATTCGAACTGGGGTGATGTGGTGACATCGCAGCAGGAGCTGGACCGGATAATCTCCAATCTCATGGAAGCCAATCCGCAGTCCAACGCGGCTCCGCCGGCCTCGCAGACAGCGCTAGACAAGCTGGAGCGCAAGAAGCTGGATACGACTATGGTCGGCACCGGTGAGAAGGCCGAGTGCACAATCTGTATTGATGAGCTGCATCACGGCGACGAGGTCACGGTCCTGCCGTGCAAGCATTGGTTCCACGGCGACTGCGTGGTGCTCTGGCTCAAGGAACACAACACGTGCCCCATCTGCCGCGCCCCCATCGAGGAAAAGCGGCAGCCGGCTTCGTCGCCCGAGGGACTAGGCGGCGGCTGGCGCAACTCTACCGGTGGCTCCATGCACATGCCTTCGCTCTTTGGCCCTCCTATGCGTTCAAACACGGCAGGAGAGTCGTCGGCATCGGCATCGGCATCGGCGTCGGCATCAGCGTCAGCATCGACCCCACCGCAACCGACGACGTCGGACTTTTCATCGACACGCCAAGCGGCCGATGGCAGCTCCTCTAACAACAGGCGCCGCCTGGTGCGCACGCCCTCGGAGAATGAGCATCGGCTGAATGTCATTCGCAGCGCCACTTTCACCATGGGCAACATGCCAGGCGATATCAGCAGCAACAATAGTAACAGCCGGGGCACTCCGCCATTGGGAGGGTATCGCCGAAACTCGCTCTCGCCGCCCAGCGCCGGATCACAGCAGCAACAGCGGCAGCAGCAACAGGGGACAGCCGCAGCGGGCGCTCGTAGTAGGGACCGAAGCCCGCCTGAGGGGTCCTTCTGGTCCTTCGGATCTGCATCGGCGGACCAGGAACGGAACCGGGACAGAGACAGGGACCGCACATCGGGCCTATTTGGCGACCGTTCCAACCGACACAGCCATCGTTCCGGCAGCGGCAGCGGCAATAACGGCGAGGGCGATAGTGGCAGCGGCAACAGTGGCGGCAACAGTGGCGGCGCTCCCAGATTCAGCAGTTGGTGGAGTAGACTCGGTGGATCTGGCTCGTCGTCTGGCAATGGCAACAACGATGGTCGGAGGCATTGAGTGCCATCCGAGGCAGACAAGCAGCCGACCCAAGGTTTGGCTTCAAAGTCCCCATCATTTTTCTTGTCAGCCTTGTTCTTTCCTGGCCTTTCTCCGCCTCGACAACAAGGGCGGACGGTGTCATTGTGGGAAGCGGTTACTACAGTGCGTCGTGGATCAAGACGATTGCGTTTGTTTATTCGTTTGTTTGTTCGTTTGGGGTTCAGGGTCCGGGTACAGCAATGACGGGCTTTCCAGTTAGATTTTGCCATTCTTTTGGGGAGACGATTCAGGGCAAATAAGTTCAAATGGGCCACACGGAAGTCACCCAATGGACAGGATTTTCAGCACAGCCATCTGTGAGGTCTGTGAGATGTGTGAGATCTGTGAGCCCGGGAGCAACTGTCGGCAACACCAGACCTTGTCGCCGCAGGGGCATCCCCTACCGAGATGGCCTCTATTCCGGGGTCGAGCAAGGATGGGAGGAGGAGGCAGCATCCCGGGCAAGGTGCACAGCAAGTAAAAGTCTACTCTTGCGCGTCTGCTACAGCTTTGGGCAGTGGCGCATAGCTACATTGGTGTGTGGGTAACTGTAGCTGGCAAGCAACACAGGCGGGGGCGGGGGCGGGGGATGGAGGTGGCGTCAATCGCCCGCAAACACGCCTACCCGGGTTGGTGCAGACAATCTTGGTACAGACAGCAATCCCCATGCTAGCCAGATTTAGGTTCCGCAAGCTTGGCTACTAGTCTGCCACTCACTCCCCAGCGCCAGCAGCAAAACAATCAACTGCGACCGAGCACATTGACCGAGCGCATCGACCAACCTTTGCTTGATGAGCCAATCCTTCGATCAATTTGCCCTTTGCTGTACTGTGTGCTAGGTAGTCATTTTGTCCTGCCTCCGTTTCGTTTATTTTTTTTCTCTTAGTTTTATTATTATTTATTAGTCCTCCTCCGTTTCCGTTTTTGTGTTTTAGTCGGGGCCAAACTCTCTTTTTTTTTTTCCCTCGCCCAAGGTGTTTTGGGGTTTTAATCTCCCTCACACTGGAGCTTCCTCTCCTCTCCATTCCTGTAGCCGCCTGTCGGACTCCATTGCCGAGCCAGCTCTCTGAACATTGATAGATCCGCCCCATCACGGGGGGAACCGAACCCGGCGCACCCCCATGGCTCAATTGCCTCTCCTGGGCCCTGCTCGAATTCCGTGAATCCGGGGAAGCCAGTTTCATTTCCCTCTTATTCCCACCGCTAGAATCGCGGCACGAGGGCCAAAGCGGGCGATCCATTATTCCCAACGGCA